TCTTGTTTCTTGATAAATTAAAACATTTTGATAAGAAATAATTGTGAATAAATTAAATTAAATATAATTTTTGAAAAAAAACAAAAAACAATTAAAATAAATTTTTTTGTTTATTAATTCAAAATTAAAATTAAGAAAGCGTGCGGGGGCACCGCGCGCTACACTGCGAACAGTTGGGGGACACTGATGTGGAAAACAAAACCGGTCAGTGGAGTGCGTGTAGGCCTACAAAGGGACATGAAGCAGCGGAAAAATGACAAAAGTCTTTGTTCTGAGTAGCAGTGATGGGTGTTTAAATAAAGGTTGCTTTCTGGTGATTCTCAAACAAATCTAAGTTAAAAGACTTCATGACATTGTCAAAGCATTCTCAGAGTTTTGGGGTTTTCCGCCACTAAATTCAATGTAACACTTGACATTTAAGTGAAACAAAAGAAAATCAAACATCTTCATTTAAGGAACTCTGACAACGCAGCAGCATCCATCATGTTTTGTGCTGTGTTTGTGTTCCGGCCGCAACAAAACCAGAGCTTTCTAAAACAGGATCGCCTGCCTCTTTCCCAGCCCCCATGCAGCAAAGGTGAGTTACGTAAACATATCCGTGCACAGAGCTTACAGATAGACGGAATAACTTCCATACTGGGACTCAGCATGGCGCCTCCTTTCCTCTCACTTCACTCATCGCTGTCTACCATCTGTACTTCCAAAACCATTTGGGGGATTTCGCGTTTGGATGCTTCACAAGTGTGACATTTTCTGCCCAGACTTTTTGCTTTCTTGGAAGAATCCAAAAGATGCCGCAGTATTATTCATGCAGCGAAAAGTGTAAAATGAAACCTTAGAGTGAGGGATTCTTTTGTTTTTGCAAATGATAGTTGGCATTAGGTAAGTGATCTCACCTTGCTGCAACGCTTATAGATCCGACAACAGAAGGAGGGCAGCGTTGAGCGAGCAGCAGTAAGGGCTCCAGACAGCGAGCAAACTCACTTCTGTAGTCTGTGTTGATCTAATGGAGGACAGAGAAAACGTCACTTAGTCTTGTACAAATGCACGAATTTCTGCCATAATATTATGTATTCTTTCTATGAAAACAGAAAAAAAAGCTGGGCCAAAATAAATCAGAAATCAGGAAGAAGAAATAAATAACAAATGTAAAATGAAGTTACTTCGTACATCTAGTAGATTATACTGACTGCACGGTCACTGAATGTTTTGATGAGTATGAAAATGATAAGATGTATGTCATACTTGCTGTGGCCTTCACAACCACCAGAATGAATCTTTGCTAAAATGTGTCAGCCATGTGTCCGTTTCAGCTTTATTTACTGATGTAATACTGATAAATACTGACTTAGCTTCTCAGTACATGACATCTTTTGACATTTCTGAAAAGAAACAGGGATGTGTGTGGAGGAAAACACTGCAGCAGTGATTGCTTAACCACACAAAACAACACTCCTTACTCAAGGTCCACTACCAGGGCTCAATACTCACTTTTAAAAGTCACTGCCAAGCTGACAACCACGCATCAGCTTTTGGTTACCAAAACTGAAAACATGTTTGCGGTGTGCATGCCAGTAAACGCTCCAGTGCACGTGAAGCGCAGTCTGGTGCTGGTTCCGACTTTAACCGCAATATTTAAATACAACTACTGAAACTAATACAAAAAGAGAATAGATGTATTTTTGGAGTGCACATATTTATTATGTTAAAAAGAGGTTGAGCCATGAATTGGTTGCCAATTTCTCAAAATGGTTGTCAATGGCAACCTGGCAACCATTTTTTTTAAAGAATCTTTATTTAAGGTCTACTTACTATTATCATTTTCTATGAGCGTTGGCTGGATTTCTGCTTTCCTTCTATTAGTTAACTTGTACTTGATAAGCTGCTTGAACGACTATAGTTGTGTAGTCAGAGTAGATGTTATAAAGTCTTGTTTGTTACTGTAAAATGTGCTCGTAAGTGTATGTTCTCTAATAAATTGTACAAGGCTTGCTCTTCTACCCTCCTATATGTGCTTTGTGGTTGTTTTGTCTGCAGATTAAAATTAGCGTTTTGTCTAAATCTGAAACATTTGCATCATCACGACTAATGTGTCTTTTCCCTCATAAATACATGAATGAATGACTACAGCTCCCATTGGAAGGCACTGAACTTCCTTATAATGGAAAATTGGTTCCGGGCTTCAGGGCCGCGGAGGAGAAAGAGGTGAGACTGCATTGGGAACAAGAGAAACAACTAATCAGAGCGCTGCAGTGGATTGCATTCTGGGTGTAACCTCTTCCAGCCCTGCAGGAAGGCGGCTCCATATACTCACTTTGCTGCTCTGCGCTGGTCTCAGACGGTGAGGGAGCTTTACAATCCTCTTCAGCCTCTCCATGAGTTGCTGTGTGAGCAAGAACATGAGTGATATGTTTCATCTCGAGGACACATTATGGACAGCCTCCTTTAAAAGACCAATTCTGTCCAGCCAAGACAACTCTGGGAGAATGAACTTTGTGGTGTATGTAGACACGCTTCCAGAATCACAGATAATGTGCCGTCCAATAGTTCTCTACTTTATCTATTCATTGTTTATATTCACAGAAAAAAAAGGTTTATGTATTAACGTTCCCCTCCCCCACTACTCTCTCTTAACCACATATGATTTGTAACACAGCACTGCAACTCTCTATATATACGTATATGTTTGATTAAATTCTCATGAAAAGCAACGATAATAAAACACAGCTCATCGTTTACGTGGCAGCACTCACGTAGCCCATGTCCAAAAACTCAAACTTGTTGGCTGAGCTGAGGAAGGCCGAACAGGTGACGAGGTGCACCTGAAAACATCAGAGACTCAATTTTAGATTTCAAACATGAAATATGAGACACCAACAGACTGAAACTGAAATTAAATGGGATTTAACTGATCACAAAACTAACAATCAATTTGAGCAGAATCATCATTTTCACAGCCCGTTCATAAAAGTATGGAACTGAAGGTTTACTCTGACGGTATCTCCGTGCTAATGTTTAGGTTCGTACTTGGATTTTGGGTTTGTTAACATGCTTTAATTAAAAAAACACATTATTTTTCTCATACTGTCTGTCTGAATGTACCTGTATTCACCTTCTGTCTCTTTTAGCCCCCCCTCCTGAAAAAACACCCAGTCTGCTCTGTTTGGCTTGCCAGAAAAATATGGTGCACCTTTGCAAAGACAGCTGTCGAGCCGTGGGTGGACACACCCAGACGGGGCACGGTATATTCTAATGAGCCTGCATGTGACGTAGGAAGAGTAGCCAGCTCTACGGCACAACGGCTTGTTGTCACATGTTCTCTGATCTAGTCCACTGAAAACTGACTGGGTTTTCATATTTCACACTTTGTGGGTTGGCAGCAACTCCAGATACCCAAATGTATGTCAACAAGCACTGAACAAGTTAGTTTTTACAGATATGTCCTCTTTAAAGTGGCATTTTTGACTTGAATAAAACAAACACTGTCTACTTTGGGCTCCTTGTCATGATTCAGTCCAGCAGTTCCAGAGAGCAATTTCCAATACAAACTTCTCAAATGATCCACTTTAAATGTCAAAGGCCCCAAACGGGTGGATTATTGTTATTTCACATACAAGTAAAGCTTTTTTTAAAAGTTCAAAATCAGAACATAGTATTTTCTTCTTTCCTACTCCACTAATCATCCCACGACCCCCCATAGTTATCGTGTGATTTATCTTACTCTACCTGGAGGGTTGGTAGGAGCGCAGTAAGGTGTGAGAGCTGCTCCTTCAGTGCTTTCTCCTTCTCCTCGTGTTGACTGCAAACACACACACACACACACACACACACACACACACACACACACACACGTAACGCTACACCTCCACATTAGTGCCTGCCGTAATACTCAAGAGGATTCAGCTCAGGAGGGGCAACCACAAACAACATACTCCATATTTCCCGAAGCTAATCTATCTGTCTTCTCTGTCTACACACATGCACACAGACACAAGGCCGGACGCACAAAGCCTGACATAAATAGCCTTTAACACTCTTCCGGGAGCCCAGACACTGGACGGCTTCCAGGCAATGGAGAGAGAGGAAGAGAGAGATGGAGGACACAAAAAAAATCTCATTATAGGTCCCCGCAGACTGCAACTCGAGACACTCACTCATATGGACAAAATTGTTCTCATTCAATCACACGTACGTACAGATGGAGCACGCGCTGAAAAGGAAAAAGTGCTCGGAAATCATTTTAGATTTTTTTCATCTGGAATTTGGAAAATGGGTGTTTGTAGATTCACAGAGTGAAGTAAAAGAGATAAAACACACATTTTATGTCTGGTTCTGCTTTATTGACCACATACTTAAGTGATAATTCATCTTAAAAGGTGCAATATATGTGATTCAGGCATTAACATAGCATCAAACAACTAGTAAAGATATAGTGGAGTAATGTCTAGCTGAGCAGAGAATGATCTCTCTGTTTCTGCTGTTCTCAGCACCTATCCTTGCTATGTTGACATAGCTGGAGTACTTTTAATGCATGTTCGTGCCCCACTGGCTAGCTCACGGCCGCCGCTCTGCACCGCTCTCATAAGGCGGTTACAGCTGATAACGCCGTCCCGACGGAGAGTGCCGTCACGTAAGAGTAACAACAAGCCTGCAGTTCCCCCTCAGGTAAACACTGTTAGCGCAGTCAGCACCGATAGCTGCGAGCCATGGCGGCGGCCTTTAAGAAGCAATAACATGCTCCTAATCGTATCCAGCACCGTTAAATGAAATTTGACTGATGTGCAATAATTTGATTTTAGAGACTAATTAGTTGCAAACCTTGGATGACATCAAATCAAACTTTAATGATCGCGGTTGGGATGTTGCACGATTTTAATTATTTAAGTGTGAGTTAATGCTAAATTGATGGACGGGAGGGTTTCATTATCCTGTTTTTGCAAAGTCATTTCTCAATTTATATCACTTTACAGTTGAGTGTGTGTGTGTGTGTTTGTGTGTGTGTGTGTGTGTGTGTGTGTGTTGTCAGTAGTGTCACTCCAATAATGTGTTGGACAGAGAACAGGCCCCAGCGAGTGATTCAGATTGCCACCTTGAAAATGGGCATACTCACATTAAAGTCAGGGTTAGTAATCGCTTTCAAAAACTATTTTTGATATTTTTGTTGAAATTCTTATTACACCCTGACAGCAATAGTCCGTTTCCATTTGAAAACGCATATATTTTGCTACGTTTACACTGAGCGTCCACACTACGCCGGCGTTTTCGAGCACCGATAACAGAGGAGTTTGAAAACGCTGCCGAGGACGGATGAGTTTGAAAACGCCGGAGTTGCGTATTCGTGTGGACGGTTGAAAACGGATACGTTCGTCACATGTCTATCACGTGACCGTTTCCCAGAAGCTCACAAACAACAACATTGATTACCAATCATCTACCAGGTTAAGTCAACATGTACAACTGATTACAGGCGACGCCGACCTTGTTGTCTTTTACTAGCAGCTGTTGTTCAGTTAAAGTCTGCATTATTACGGAGGAAGCAGCTGTTATTGGAGCGATCAGCCACCAGCAGAGCTACCAGTCAACAACGAAACCGAGGAAACGAGTGAGAGACGTGTGTTGACCACATTTATGGATCATAATCTAGTAAACTTTTATGTGTAAGTGTTGATTTTAAAGTAAATTAGATATGTGTGAGAGATAGAGAGATATAAAGCAAGACCTGCAGCGCTGTAACTAACGTTAAGTCTGACAAATAAAACTTCTAAAACTTTCCACGAAATGTGTCTGTTTGAGTTCATAGAGGAAGATTTTGGAGAAGATCTTAAGTATCAAACACAACCTTTCACTATTAAAGACTACTTTATTACTCTGTCGTATCTTTTTTTAACTAAGCAACCAATCTACTTCCTGTTTACATCGGCACTCACCCAGTGTACGTGAATAGTCACGTGATATTCGTTTTCAGCCGTTTTAGTGTGGACGGAGATCGTCTCGAAAACGATGCTGAAACGCCCTGTGGACGGAGAAGGCTTCCACCAGCTGCTATGATAGCTGTGAGTAAACAAAGCCATGTCCGTTCTTTACGTTCATAATGATCATTTTAGGGGAGTGGCTTTTGGAGGGAGCTGTCAGAGTTGTCGACTTGGCAACTTTCTTGCTAGATTCAGCAACTTTTGGAGCTACTGCTGCTAGCTACTTTGTTGGATAAGAGTTGGCAACACTGAGCTGGGTTTTTGGGTTGGATATTTTGAAAAATGTAGCTCTAATTCACCAGTTTGTAAAGATTACCAACCCTAACTATATTCAAGGAACAATGCCATTTGCAATAAATGTCCTCGAAAAAGGCAAACCCATCTCCTTCAAGGTTCTTTTTATTCGTGTAAAACAGTCAGTAACAATCACAAAATGCTTATTCTACACAAACAATGAAATAGAAATAAATTCTAAAAAATATTTTTTAATCAAAAGCATGATTTCTTATTTCATTTTGTATTTTTGTCATATACAGATATGGAATAATGATGTGGATGTCGTCCAATGTCAAGTCTCTATTTGATCATGTGACAATACGGTACAATAATGTGTGTTTGTGTGCGTGTGCTTCATAACTACTCGTGCCCTAGGGCATAATAATGCTAAAGGTGCTCTGTTTTTATTTAAAGTGGAGGACATCTTATCCAGGGTTTCCTGCAGCAGCTGTGGATTTTAGGGACTTGAGAAAGCCTGTAATGTAGATAATGTGTATTTGCACACCAATTATTTTTGGTTGGCTATATTTTCATTGAGTGGATCAAGGCACAATATGCAAACATTGGCTTTAAAATCTGTAATCCCCCTGAGGTGCTTTTAATTCGGTGTCATAAAAAGAAAATATGTTTGTTGAGATTATTCCAGAGCAAACAGGGGGCTGCTATTCATCGCTGTACAATGCAGCATGATACAATGGAGAAACCATCAAGTGACCCGCTGACAGCCGGATAATAGCATTCAATTAGGTAAATATTGTGACATAGGCTGCGAGGCAACAAAAGCATTTTTTTTACATAAGACCTGTAAATCTTATATTTCAATATTACCTCTGGGCTGCTTTCAGCAGAATCTTCTTCCTCTCTGCTAGTTTTTCCTGTCAGACAAGAACAGAGAAAACAGAGGCTTTTACTCCTTACACTGCTGTGGAAATGGCCTTGAGCTCGCTAATACCTAATGAATTGTCAAGATTGTGGGGGGGGGGAAATAGGTGTAAAATCCACAGTGTGGCGTCTGCTCTGTTTGATCGTTCAGAATGCAAAGAAAGAGAAAACTCTTTTCTCACAAATAGGTTAACAGAGACCTCCAGTGGCCGAGCCGCGTTAACACTCTCAGATGGAGAAACTTACTGCGTACTCATTTCAGACAGAGAGACTCAAACAGTATTTGAATCTTACTTTTAGATTTAACTTCTGAATTAAGTTATAGTCTGTGTTTCGGAAACATAAGATGTTTTTAGTCCAGTTTTCTGTAACGGACTGATTTTAATTTACACTTTAAGTTAAAGCAAAGCTGGTGTCGTAAATCTATTGACTTGGTGTATAAATATCAAGGGGCAGTCAGATAAAAGTCCAAATGTATTTGCCACTTCACCAGCTGTTTGAAATGTAGATTCTTGGAATGGTTAGGACATGGTTAAACATTAAGACGAGGAGTGTGGTGAAGTGCATGTACATCATCTATGACAAGAGCAACGCTGCCCGCTGACGTTTTGATGCTTTGAGTTCATGGCTTGGTTTTTGCTCTCTTCAGCTGTGAGACCATGTAAATAGACAGGCGCGTGGGCTTTTCACACGTCATGTCCAAACAATTGAATTTGCCACAGGTGGACTCCAATCAAGGTGTAAAAACATCTCAAAGAAGATCCAGAGAAATGGGAAACACCTGAGATAGATTTCAAGTGCAAGCACAACGGGGTTTAAATACTTGTCAATGTTATTTCAGTTTTTTCTTTTTTATAAATTAGCAAAAAAACGTCTCAGATTCTGTTTATGCTTTGTCATCATTAGGTTGGATTGATGAGGGGGGACAATGCATTTGAAGGATTTTAACTGGAGGCTGCACCATAACAAAATGTGAGAAAAATGCAGAGATCTGAATACTTTCTGAACGCACCACGTTTGTGTCTGATGACCATTTTTAAACATTTTAACCTGAAGAAGATACAACTGATCTGATCCCATCTGTGCCCACAACTGACATTGTTCATTTAAAGTGTTCTCTATCAAAATCGGTCAAAAAAAGTGAGTTTTTCTTATCACAATACATCTAGTTTTTGGGCACATGGGACTACTGTTTTTGCAAACCACTCTATTATATTTGAGGACAACAGAGTAGTCCCATGTGCCCAAAGACCAAATATAGTGAGATGAGAAAATGTCTGTATTATATTGAATATATATTATATCATATTGAAGATATGCACATATGTGCAATGTAAAAAAAAAAGGTCCAAATTCCAAATATTTGATCTATTTGATGAGTTTGACTATTGAGTCTTGACTATTGAGTGTGATTTTCTTGTGATCTAATGTCAGTAACCAAAGACTTTAAACCATCATAATGAATGCATCACATCAAATATAGTCTCTGGGCACAAATGGCTTTCAAGTCAGCGCGCAGGGGTTCTTCTTTACATTGAGTGATTAGGGAGAATAAACAACAGTCGAAGAACTCTATCAGACCAGGATCATTATATTACCTGCAAGCTGTTGAACAGGGTACAGATCGCACTCTCTTCTTCCTCCACATTCAGACACACTTCTCCAATCATTGCTCTCAGCAGAACGATGGCCTCTCTCGCCGAAGTCTGCAGCTCCTTCACCACCTGGAGATGGAGGAGGAGGTTCGCTGTCAATGAGAAGCCCTGTGAGCTACTGCACTGCCACACATTTGTCATCAGAGCCTGTATTACAAACTTCAAGCTGAAACATGCGAGCATTCTCGAGGCTATTCTGCTGTACAAATACACTCATTTTGGCTCATTACAATGGAGACGCTATATCTTTTTTAATACTGCCAATTTTGAGAAAGAGCACGCAAAGTATACCAAATATAATTGTATTCGGCCCAGGTTAATTCAGGAATGCTCAAAATATTGCAAGAAAATACTGCTCAGTTATATGTTTATATATTCAAATTGCATTGTAATGAGCTCTGCAAGTGCACCCGCACCACATCTCACAATACCACCACCGCTGCCGTGCGCTTGAATTATTCATGATGCCAGAAGTGTAGATGAACAGACACGATTCTCTCACCAGCACAGCTTGGTCCAGCATCTCACACCCCTGCATGTAAGCGGTTTCAATATCAATGCAGTGAGTCCGACTCTCCCTGTGGTAAACAAACAACACCTAATTCAATGTGGAGAAGAGAAGAGAAGAGAAAGACATCACCGCAGTGACCTCATTTCTTCAAAGTCTTGAGGCCCCCACTTCAGAGCCTGGAGCTTCCGAGGCTCTGGACTCCCCACTAAGCTTGGAGGAAGTAATACCATCAATCAAAGCTATGCAAAATACCAAAGCTCCAGGGCCAGATGGATTTTTGGTAGAATTTCCCCCAAAAAATTAGAAATAAAATGACCCAATTGCTTCTTTAATGTGTTCAATGAATCTCTGGAAAGTGGTTGGCCCAACGCAAACAAAACAGTGCATGTAAAGAGTGTTAAGGACCCCATATCCTCCTACAGACCCGTGTCTTTGTCAAACATTGATGCCAAGATTTTGGCAAAAGTTCTAGCTGGGTGTCTTGAGAATTTCCTCCCAAGTTTAATATGAGAGGAGCAAACTGGTTTCATGAAGGAACGGCAGCTTTTTTCTTTTAATGGGCCACACTGTTAATATGCTCTATTCCAAACATCCTTTAGAAACTGCAGAACTAGTCGTTTCTTTGTACGCGGAGAAGTCGTTTGATGGAGTGGAGTGGGAGGTACCTCTTTGAGTAATACATTTTATCTTGGATGCATCTCTGCAGGCCAGCGTTCATACCAGTGATACCTGATTGGACTATTTCGCATTGACAAGAAGGACCAGACCCTTTATCCCCCCTACTGTTTGCATTAGTGATAGACCCTTTGTTGATCGGGTCTTCCACCCGGTTTGAAGGAGTGATCTGGAGAGGTAAAGAATTTACACTGTCATTATTTGCCTATTATTATATAACATTATGTTGACCTATTGTTATATGTATAAAAAGCATCCCTTTCAGCCAATCGATTTTGGAAAAGCACTACCCCTCTAACAACTTTGAACTACAACTAAAGCAAACCCAAATTCCACATTAAATGAACCCCACTGGGTTCAGATACCCGATCAATATATCACGAACCATGTCCTCTCTTTTTTTCCACCAACTTGTACCCTTTGATTACACAGGTTAAAGGTGATGTTCAGAGATGGGGCAGCAACATAATACCATGAAATGTATTCCGCTGTCCTTACCCCATAAAAAAATTAAATCAACCTTTTTATGGAACAAAAAAGCTCCCAGAACATGTAAATGACTATTTGAATTTGTTTACTTCATGGGGGTCTCTTATCGACCAGACTAAGCCTCTATCTTCCTCTCTTTACTTTTCCCCTCTCATCTTTTTCTTGCTTTGTTTCACTATTGCTCCTCTATCATGAGTTTATCAAGCTCTGGGTGGTGTTCCAGTTCTGGTGAAGATAGGTGAAGTGTTGGTGAGGGCTGGGTGGATTTGGAATAAACTAATGGGGGTGATTCTTTCTGTAATATGTTCAAACCGTTCACATTAGAATGTCTAAAACAGGGAAATGAGGTTATTAAGCTTTGAAAATGTGAGCTCAGCCCGCATTCCTTATTCAATAAATGAATACAGAAAAGAGAGGATAAAAGAAGAGAAGAACGTCATAGATTTCACTCACACTTGCATGTCTCTGAAGCACTTGATGCAAAGCATAGACGTCTTCTCTGTTGAGAACAGGATGTAGGGCTCCTCGTGGAGCGCTGTGGACACAAACACACCTTTTAACCTCCGCCCACAGGAGTGCGAGAAATAAACTATTCTGTTTTTCCAATGAGCAGGTTTGGGAAACAAAAATAAAAGAGCTTTCAGAATACAAACAGAGGTTGGCAAAAGGTCTGCCACTATAAGCGCTAACACCTCGCCTTTTACACAACGTTGGTAATTTAAACAGGGCACAGAAGAGTCAACGCCCTCCGATGTTAGTGTATAAAGCCTTTTTGGCCTGTTATTCTTCTGGAGTAAATTACAGGCGGCACTCACAGCACTTCCTGTGTTTGGCTCTGGAGCGTTTGGCCAGGGACACAATCTCATGGTGGGAAAACATTCTGGCCTTGTGAGTCAGCTCCCTGCAGGCGCTGCAAAGTGGCTGGCTGCAAGTATTACAGTAGTACATCCCCCCTGCATCCTGAATGGGAAAAAAAGAAGAAGAAAAAATTAAATTGAACATGGAGAGATGCTACCGTCATTTTATATTGTTTAAAGCTACACAAGGAAATGTTGCTGAAAAATATGCCTGTCTTAAAGGTACGATGTGTACAACACAGAGGTTGAATCAAAAACAAACATTGCGGAAGGATTTGAACATTGAGATGAATGAAAAAATGGCACCAATGTTCACCAGGATTGTCTCATTTCAACAAAAACACATTCAAATACAAAGTCGAATTGCGAAAGTGAGTGTCCTTTGATGTATATACATACAAAAGCCACCACCTAAATGAAGAATTCCAATATGTTATTTCCACGTAGGAAAGTTCAATTAATAATTGTATCTCAAATGTCTATGGATCAGTTTCAGACTTAATACTTGATGGTATTAACAAATTCATTTTTAGCCCTCTAGTTGTTGGATTTGGGAGAGTTGTTCATGTTTACTAATCATTTTGAACCGTCTCAAATAACATTTATTTTTTTGTATCAATTTTTAAAATGAGCATAGGTCCCCTTTAAGTTAAAAAAGAGTAAGAATCAAATACAAAACTGTCCCCTGCAGTAATATGGGAACGTTCTGTCCACGAAAAGCTGGATTCATCCCGGTTTACTTTTTTATTTCTCTTTTCTATCCTCAGACATGAATCTGCTATGTGTGTGCTACTTATGTCTTACTACTGTGAGTCACCAACACCTCCTGGAAAATACTTTTTTTATATAACATACACTGCCGTTCAAAAGTTTAGAATCAGCAGTTTATTTATGTTTTACTTCTTTCCTTCAATAATGGCTATTTTAACACAGATTTTAACGGTATAATTCAGACACCAAATGTATTATTTACATTTGAAATAGTTTTGGCCCCAAAGGAAGAAGAATAAAATGATTCAAACTTACATTTAGTCAGTAAGTAAGACAAGGTTTACACTGTGATTAGTCAGTCCATGTTATGTTCAGCTGAGGTTGTGACAGTGCTAACCATAGACTAACTCTATTGTGACGTTTGAAGAAGAGCTCTGCTAAAGTAACACGTTGCCTGTTAATTCCAGCTTCTTATAGGCTGCATTATTGTGCACTTGACACTGAAACAGGAACTGGTTCTTGTTTTAATGTGCACACATTTTGATGCTAAGCTTCTAGTTGTTTTTTTTACCAATGACGTGATTTCTTATATTCTTATTTAACTGTTGATCAGAGGGATCTTTGTCTCTTTCTGCCCTTTTAATTCAGTCTGGTTGAACCGTTGCACAGCGTTTTGTTGTCCATGTATAAAATACCATCTATTTGTAAAGAGGACTTTCTACAACCTAAGAGCATGACATCTGACTGGAACAAATCAAACTTCTGTGACAGGCGATTCAAAACTTTTCAACAGCAAAGAATTGTTTTTATTTCTACTGCCTGTGTTCAGTATCTGTCTGTGTTATGTCACATGGGTGCAGGTGACACCTTAATAACTGTGAATATTGTCGTTCAATTCTTACCTTTTTGCTACTTTCCTGGTCACAGTTGGCACACTGCACCGTCTCCTCAGTGTCCGCATTGTTGTCAACCAGGAACTTGAGCAGACGGTCTTCTGGAGGGAGGGAGCTGTTCCCTTTTAATATGGATGGGTAACTGTGGCAAAGACAGACATTTACACAGCCTGAGAAAACCATGACATTTATCACCAGTCAAGTTACACTGGCAAGTACGAGTGTTATTCTAATGTATGCCAGGAATAATCAACACAGGTGAAACTGTGCCTCTCTCTGTGCTTGCCTTACATTATGATACTTATAGGCTATATGTCTTAAAACAGGTGTGTGGGAGCTTTACATTTTCACTGTTTTATTTATAGACAGATTATATTTCATCCTCCGTGTCAAGAGAGTCAAAATCAAAACAGAGTGCAGCACCTGTACAACAACTAAAACATCCATTCCAGTAGTAGTAGATTTTCACATGAATTTAAACAAAACCCACATGCCATTACATGTATAACAAAATACAGCACCACTTTCACAAATCTATCAGACCTCACAACTGAAATTGTTCCAGATATGAAAAAAATGTATGCTGTTTTTTTAAAAAGTCAAGGAAAATTTGAATTCACAATTCAAATCTGTACATAAAATAATTACAAAAATAACTGAATGAAGCACAAAACGAAAATGAAGTTACAGTTCTGCCACAGACCAGTGCAAGATATGAATAAATAGTCCTAAATATAGTTTAAACACCTGATCGCCCTATGTGCAGAGGAAACTCCTGAATAGTTTTCTGCAGTACTGCGTAGCGCCGGAGGGGGGCAGCAGTTAACTTAAGGACGCCTCCACCATAGAAGAAGAGGATGCGGAAGTTGAACACGGTGCGCACTGCAATCATCGTGTGTTTTGAGGCTCGACGGTCTGTCATCTAGAAAGTTCCAGAGAAACACCCCAGAAGAGACGAGGAAGCGCAGGTAACACAGTTCGTCCGCCGAGGGAGAAATAGTCGACGTTGGAAAATGTCTGTTATTTCGGAGGAAAACGTGCGGGGGAAGAACCTCTTCAAGGATATCAGCGCCGATGACGAAGACTGGCAGCCCACTGAGATCGAGAGTATGTGTATGAACTGCCACCAGAACGGTACGACACGTTTACTTATGACCAAAATCCCATTCTTCAAAGAAATCATCGTCAGCTCCTTCAGCTGCGACAACTGCAGCTGGTCGAACACCGAGATCCAGTCTGCGGGCCGGATACAAGATCAGGGCGTTTGTTACACGCTCAAAGTCAGAACGAAACTGGACCTAAACCGGGAGGTTGTGAAAGCAGACAGTGCGACCACCAGGATCCCCGAGCTGGATTTTGAAATCCCTCCCTTCACCCAGAAAGGCGCCCTTTCTACCATCGAGGGCCTCTTGGACAGAGCCGTTGCGGGGCTGGAGCAGGAGCAGCCTATCCGGAGGGAGACTGACCCAGAGGTGGCTGAGAAGATAGACGGGTTCATCCTGAAGCTCCGGGAGTTAAAAGAGGTCGAAGACGAGTTCACGCTGGTGATCGAGGATCCGTCCGGCAACAGTTTTGTGGAAAATCCCACGGCCCCTCAAAAAGATGAGGCTCTCACTGTGTCCTACTTCAAGAGGACGGCCCAGCACGACATGCAGCTGGGGCTACGGGCGGATGATGACTTGGAGGACGAGGAGCCGGCTGGCAACGACATCGATGACATGAGAGACGAGGTCCTGGCCTTCACCACCAACTGCCCCGAGTGCAACGCGCCGGCCTCCACCAACATGAAGCTCATCCAGATCCCCCACTTCAAGGAGGTCATCATCATGGCCACCAACTGCGACAGCTGTGGCCACCGGACCAACGAGGTGAAGTCCGGCGGGGCCACGGAGCAGATGGGCACCAAGATCACCCTGCGCATCACCGACATCTCCGACATGACGCGGGACGTGCTCAAGTCGGAGACGTGCAACATCGCCATCCCGGAGCTGAAGTTCGAGCTGGGGATGGGGGCCGTGAGCGGGAAGTTCACCACCCTGGAGGGGCTGCTGACGGACATCAAGGACCTGGTCGTGTCCAAAAACCCCTTCATCTGCGGCGACAGTGGCGTCACGGATCAGGTGGAGAAGCTGAACGCGTTCGGGGAGAAGCTCGACAAGATCATGGCCGGAGAGATGAATGTCCACATCGTCCTGGACGACCCGACGGGGAACAGCTACATGCAGAACATATACGCCCCGGATCCAGATCCCGAGATCACTACTGAGAAGTACACCCGCACGTTTGAGCAGAACGAAGACCTGGGCCTGAACGACATGAAGACTGAGGGATATCAGGAGGAGGAATGATCTGACTGCGCCGCCTGAAAGGACTAAATGAGCTAATGATTGGTTAATGTCGAGTCAAACACCCAGTGTAGTTACATCGCTCCATATTTTCTTCCATTTACATACGTTTTAAGTTGAACGCAGGGCGAATGGTTGTTTCCATCGGTATATTAATCAGTAAAAGGAATTCTAAGTTGTCTCATTGTACAGTGAAAATGAACACAAGTCATTTGTAAAAGGCATAGATGCTGCTGTTATTAAAGATGTGTCCTTTATCTCATTGTTTGGTGTATTTCTTCTGACATTCCAGAAGATGGCGCCCTGTTATCTCTCATTTAATGGTGTTTTTTTTTTTTTCTCTCAGAGAACACACTGTGTGACAAATTCCTATTTTTATACACCTGTGAGCATGACATCTAAATAAAGTGTTGTCTAAATTGATTATCTCTGCTCTTTGAATTGGCAGATGTTGAAAGACGGAACGTTTCTAATTTATCTGCATCATTAATCTGAAGAATATCCAACATTTACATTACAAAGGATTTAGATTAAAGTCTGGAAGCTTTTCACACATTTAACACGAGGATCATCTTCGTATAATCGTATGAGTGCTGCTTGCAAACATGATTATTTACTTAATTGGTTAATCAATTGATCATCTCATTGTGAGAAATACTTTCATTGTAATTTAGCAGAGCCCAGGTGTTCTCTTTAAAATCCTTTTATTCATCAATTCAAATCCCAGAGATATTCTGTTCAACATGTAGAAATGCAGAAAGCCTCTTAGGTTTTTTTTTGTTTGGAAAACAGCCTTACTCTGACCAATAGCTGACAAATTTTATCTTGGTTGATTAATCAGCTAATTATTTACTGAACTAAATCTTAACTAGTCCTGATTTAAGTAGAGTTTATTCTTGTTAACCCAAACCGTAAAAAAAAAATCATGCACGTTTAATATCAACCAGAAAATGAGTACACTGTCAGATGCAGTGGTCAGTTTCTGTTGCAGAGACGACATAGACAGCGGCCTGTTTGATTTACCCATAATGCCGCTTGCCTCGATCTGATTCAGCTGCTGCGATGCTAATGTTCCTCTTTGTGTTTTATCTCGTTTTCATAGCAACGGGGATCTATTGTGTTCTACTAATAGCCGAGTAGAGAATTCCTAGATTACATGCTTCTTGAGTGAGCAGCTGTTAGCGGGGCCGCTGATGGAAATAGTAGCTGGCGGGCAGCGGGCCCCTGTAGCCTGAGCCCAGCCAGCGGAGCACGCCGGCTCTGTGCCCACAGGGTTATTTCCATAGAGAGCCAATGATTGCCTATGGTTTTTTTGTCTCACTGCCTCATGCTATGAATAAAGGATGTTGGTTTTACTCTGACTTGTACAGCCGACTGGTTCACATTATCTACCTCAACACAGGTTCATATCAAATAGCTTGAAGGCAGTTAAATGTGGCAGCCGCCTCCGGTTCAGCCACAGTTTGTTGAGGTGATTTTAATAATTCTGTTTGATTCACAACCGTTAGCTCATAGTATGGCGCCGACGTGTGGGCGATAAGGAGTTTCGAACATGAAGCCTCAACAGACACACTGTTTTAAGAGGAGTTGTAAGATGTTGTGACTGAGCAGAATCGGAGGTGGCTCGTGAGTTCAAAGCAGTTCTCAGTGTGACAAACATTAGTTTTTCATATTGAGTTGTTGTGCTTTGGAAGCGGTGCATGGCGGTGCCGTGTGTGCACTGATTAGTGTGGGTGTCTGATTGCTCGTTGATTGTATGTTTTTTCTCATTGTGCACGTCAAATATTGTGCCCACACTGCAAACAAATGGGGCAAAAACATTAATCATCAACCAGTGGAACTGGATCTAAGGGCCGCGAGCAGTTGAGAATAATGCAGTGATGTCGAAACTCGTCACCGTTTGATTCTCTGCATCCGCACACAAGAGGGAAACCAAAAATCTGGGTCAAGTTGTGTCTGACGCAGGAGAAAAGACAAAGATCAAAGAAATCACGTCGCAGCAGAGGGCCTTTTTCTAAACATCCATGTGTGCTTTGATGAAGGGCAAGTTAACACTGCCGACCTGAAGGTGACTGCTAACCACGAGTCAGTCCTTAATAGGGGATGAAATGGATTGATATCATGTGACTGCTTTTGATTGCCCTAAGCTGCTGGCACCGGCGCCAAATACCAGTATGCTTTGTTTGCTGTGTGACTGGTCTTAGAGGAACTTGCTATCCGGGGGGCGTCGGGTCCAAAGACTACACAAGAGACCGGGATGACCCCGCAGCTGCTCCAGCCATTCAGGCCTGCTCTACCCAGACCAGGCCAGCAGTGGGTCACCGAGCAGCACCCTCAGACCGAAACGGAGAGACTCATACGCTCTCTGAAACCAACGGGATTCTCCTTAAATCTCCTGCACCAACCAAACCGGTCTACTGGACTGGAAGGAAACCCATTGAGCAACGCTGTCCAAAAGTTTGGGCTTTTTACACAGAACACTTTACCCTCCAGGGGATTCAAGGAGCAATACTATTTAAGCAGGTTAATCATGTTTGAGCAGTTTGAGATCAGCTTCTCATTACTCGACTTCACCTTATTTTTGTTTTGGGGTTCATGGCTTAGTACCATAGTTGTGATATCCAGGCGTAGACACAGACACCACAACACATTGATAAACGTCTAGATAAACTATATCTAGTTAAGAAACTTGATTCAAACCTGCAGATTTTTGAGAGATTTCTTCTCCCTTATTGTGAACATATTGTGGCCAAGTGTGGCCAAAAATACCATATCTTTAAACACATATTTAGGTTTTCCATTGCTTTCAAGAGTGATTCTATATGCACAGCCTTGATCTTAATCAACCTCACAGTGCTATCTCTTACCCACAGAGGGGGCAGCTGAGACGGCTGTCATTGGTCCGGCCTCGCAGGCAGCGGGCACAGAAGATGTGGTAGCAGTCCAACAAACACGGGGACTGGTACTGCTCGTTGCACAGGTGACACACCAGCGGGTGGACAGTGGTGCAATCCACATTAAACAGGTTATCCAAGTTGTTAAAGATTCCTCCTGCCATCTGCAAAAAAAGAGGGAATGATGACACGGTGAGAGTGTCACTTGAGTCACTAGTTTTAGAAAGCCGTCACATCACATCAAAAGCATGTGTAATGGTTCAAATATTCTAGTTATTATAAGAGAGGCTAAGGCAACACTTTGATCAAGAGAGTCAGACATTAATTGGAGTAAACAAGCCTTTTCTCAGTTTGTCTCTTACCTTGTCAGATGTGTAGCGAAGTGCCCGGGGCTTCAGTGACACGGCACACAATCCAAAAGCGTCAAATACAAAGGCACTGTCGGCACCGACACTACATCCAGCCAACAAATGCTACTGTAAATGCGGCAGGCTAGTCCACAGGAAGCACAGAGAGCCACTGTCTTACCTTTCAGTGCTGCTATCAGCTGCCCCCAGCAGGAATGACAGCAATGCAGAAACTCTTCAATAGTAGGCCGATGGGGTCCCTCCGCCAGGCAGCTGGCAGCACGCACCTCAGGCCAGCCTCCAAAAGCTGCCAAAGTGCTACAGGGACATGTAATATTGCTGCGGCGTAGAGATTAAAAATACAGTTGTCCTATTTCTAAAGTCACACTCGTGTTGTTACGTCTTGGAATCCAAGGCAGGGTGACTGGAGGGAAAGGGGTGGAAGTGACTGCATTGCAACTATTTAACATTGAACTAGGAGTACTTTCCACGTGTCACGTAAAGCATCGTTTTTAAGCACTTTGTAAACTCTGTTTTAGAAAAGTGCTGCGTAAATGAAGCTTTGGATTGTTATGCAGCATGCAAGTAAATACATCATTAATAGGTGTTACCCAGTTCTAATTCAAGAGCAAAATGTGAGAGACGGTTTAATACATTTGATAAAATATAGCATAACCCTTGTTTTCCAAGTCCAATTTTTTAAAAACAATTTCAACTAATTTCCTTTTTTAAGTTCTATTTAATTGTGTGTTAATTATGCGGAAAATCGATTTGACTTTCAAAGAACTGCTCAGTTACAACCCAAATTCATTATTCACTTTTTAATGGGAAACTTTATTCTCCATATAAGTTGAATTGTATGCTTATACATGTAGACAAGTTTCACCTTTTTCTTCCTGTGGGTCAAACTAAGATTGACTTGGAAGTGTTGAGCACCTTCTCTGTTTTCGGTTACATACTCCTTCACAGCAAACGTTTTGAAGATTATCAGTAAATCAGAGACATCAAATTAAAAGGGACCAAATAATCTCGACTCAAGGTCCACATATTTAGCTTCATCCAGAGCTTTCAACCACATCTCACGGTCTTCATCAGTGGATGGAGTTCACTCTGTTGGCTAAATTGTTTGTTACTATAGGTTTGTTTGACATAATGTTTTGCTGTTCTTTAATATCCCTACTTAATAAAGCAACTATACATCAAAAAGTTGCTGAAAGAGAAGATAAAATAGCTTAATCTTTGGGGTGGAAATTTAATTTAACTTTACTCCTTGATAATTGTGATTAAATGAATGATTCTGCAGCAGTTTGCTGGTAAATGAGATAAATTCTGACCTCTTTCAACAGTTTATACTTCTGTAATAGGTACTTACAATGTTTGCTATTTAAAAAAACACACATCTAGTAGCACATATTAGCATGGATTAAGCTGGTGCACTAACTGGCAGTAGCTAACTAGAATCCAAATGTACTTAATCAATCCCAGATAAATCGATGCGATCGATGTTGCGGCCGGGTGTTATAGTTCCTGCGCAGCCCTTTGCTCCTTCCTTTTTGCCGTGTGTGTCAGTCATGGCCCCGATTGTGAGTAGCTAGTAAAAAGACCGAATAAACAGTATACAGACGATGTATTTTAACCTATCTTCTGCACTCGTGTACGTGTATTTCATTAGTGTACAACAATACCGGAGCCGCGGGTGTTTGAGGCTCTTTTTAAAAGCGTTGTTTACTGTGAAGGCTAAAGCCACGTTGGGCTACATAACCTGATGCTAATGCTAACGAGAGCTAGCAGGGAATAATCACGTATAAACGTTGTATGACTCATACAACATTTGAATGTATTTACTCTACATTGTGTCGCGTGCAGAGTTGGACGTATGATAGCTTAGCACGTATGACATCTTGTCATAATGAATAATAAAAAAATAAACGTTATTTTTAATGGCTTTTTATTTGTTAATGGTAACGTTGTGATAGTTAACCCTCTCGCTTTCTGTGCTAGAAGAAGCAGGTGGTCAGGAAGCAGGGTGGAAAGAGGAAGAAGCAGATCCTGAAGTTCACCCTGGATTGCACTCACCCTGTGGAGGATGGCATCATGGATGCTGCCAACTTTGTGAGTAGACCGGTTCAGACACCAGAGACATGTCGGTCCGTTAAGCAGCAGTTGTAACACACGACCCCACCTGAGGGTCCCACACACTGCTGCCATGTCAGTGGGATCAATCTCAAGTCATTGGATATGATGGTTACAGTCAGTTTTGATTAAAGAAAAAGGACACGGTTATCCTGTGCGGCTTCAACGGAATCTAACAAGACCTCAATCACAGTGGGCCACCTTGTCAGTACTTGTTTGAGACTCATTACCTGTGTCCTCTGCACTCAACAGGAGCAGTTCCTGCAGGAGCGAATCAAGGTGAACGGCAAAGCTGGAAGCCTTGGCGGTGGCGTTGTGTCCATTGAAAGGAGCAAGAGTAAAATTGCAGTGAACTCCGAAGTTCCCTTCTCAAAGAGGTAAAAATACACAATGCAGCTCTTATCTTATCAGCCTTAATAGCCAGTGACTGAAATGTGTTTTCTTTGCATGTTTTAATATCTCAGTGCTGTGGCACAAAAAAACCAGACGTGTCTAATTAGATGTTTGTACAAATTTCCCAGAGCAGCTTAGTAATTAGAATCCTCAACATGCGCAGGTATCGTTGTGTGAAAGAGAGCATTGAAGAAATGGAGTGATTTTAATTTAATATTACTGATGTTTTGCAAAGGGACTCGTTTTTTTTGTATTACTATCAGATCATGTTATAGTATTACTCCACCTCAACGGTGTCGTGGGTCTTCACCCTCACAGATTTCAAATGGAGCTGTAAAAGGCTTCTGGTTTACCATTTAATGGAAGCTGTGGTCAGCTGTTTACTCGACCGGCATGCACCAAGCTGTGTTTTAGGAGTTAAGATCTGAAACTAAAATGTTCTGTTTTTAAAAACGCACAAAACAAACACATTGTCAACTGAATATACTTCAGTGTTTGCTTTACCACAACAGTGATACAGATGGTAGAACTTGACTTAAAGCCTCAAACAGCTTGAAAGGTTCTTCTGTAAACACAAGAAGAAACTATTCTGAACAAAGTTGTTTAGTATCTGTGTATGTTCAGATCTCTGCTGTACAGAAATGTAGTTTGTGTCTAAGCGCTGATGCATGTTTTCATCAGGAGCGACTCTATAGTCACAGAACAGTGGTAGAGTAAAGTATTCAGGTCCTTTACAGAGCAGTTGACTTTCAGCAGTAATAGCACTGGTGTTACTAATATCAGTGTTGATGGCCCTGTTGTGTTCAAGTATCCCAGTAAACCTGCACACACAATACCAAGACCCAAAAATACAGTAGCTAAATTGATTATATTTTAAGTGTAAAAAATACACAATTTCTTTTTGTGGGAAAAAAAAAATAATCCATTGTCGGTAAGGTCTGTGGATTATCAGAGTTATTTGGACATTGTTTATTTACGAAAGAGATGTTGCTGATGAACCACCATGAACAACATGTATTTGACCCAGGGTAGGAAATTTATATATTTTTTTGGGGGCAAAAATTGCCCCCACTGACTGAAATCCAGGGGCATTTTCTAAAAATTGGGGGCACTTTTTGAAACTTGTGAAATAACATTTAACCTTTGTTCAAAATAATAAATATACTTATTTAGGCTTACAATATATGAGCAATTGTCATCAAATGGCAATAATAAGACTATTAGGCAGTAGTCTACAGATTCAAAGTGTTTTCTTAGATTTTTTTAAACAAACAGAAAACATAAATCAGACAATCATATTCAATTTTATTCTTATTTCTTTGTGGTTATTGTTGTTATTAAATTTTTTAAACAACTATTAACAATTATTAAGTCAACAATGCCTTGATTATATATACATCAGTCATTGTATGGAATTATTGAGAAAAATATTTTTGTAGCACCTCAAATATTGTGATATTACCCATTTTTGCCCTGAACTTATGCATTAGTCATTGTGTGGAATTTTTGAGAAAAACATTTTTATAGCACCTTAAAAATTAAAAAAATGTGCCATTTTAAGGTACAAATTCAGTTCAGAGTTTTTACTTAGTAAAATATCTTAATTGACTGTCAGTCAGGTATTATTCATTTCCAGCAACCCTCAAATCAAAGAATAAATACACTTTACGCACAATTTAGATGTATTTTCCCTTTAACTCACGAGATGCAGGTAGCATGTTTTATACTTAATGTGAATATAATTCATTTAATCTAATTTCCATTATGCAATATGTATAATTTGTTGGCATCTTATTCTGAAAACCGGATGTTCGTCTGAAGAAACCAGATGTTGTCTCACGTTAATCTTTCCATTAACTTTCAAAGTCCCTCGCTCGCTCCCGATCTGCGCCATTTGAATGAGTTTACCGTGAATTTCAGCATATAGGTGCACTACAATTTACGTGTCTGCTGAGTTGACCGCAGTCACAGGTCTGATTAAGAAGCGCTCCATTTTTTTTATTCGTTTAGAAAGTTCGGGGGCATTTTTTGCCCCTCTCCTAGTGATATCGGGGGCAAAATGATATTTCTTAGGGGCAGTTTTGCCCTTTGCCCTCGTGTATTTCCGACGCTGATTTGACATCTGCAGGGGTAGAAGAAGTATTTGGGTGTAAGATGCCACTAAGGTGAAGTGGGAAAACAAGACTAAAATAAGCTTCTGCCTTTGTTTGATCCACACATTGCCTTTAAAAAAATCCCACTTTAATGCTACTTTGAAAGTCAACACTGTGCTGTGGGCTAGATTGAAGGATACACAAATGCTGCATTAAGTCTTCAGACTTCCCGTCTGAGCTGGGAACCCTACCACCAGAGGGTGACTCTGTCACTGTCGTTCCTAAAAGGAGCACATGATGTTAGGACTGTAACAGTAACAGGGAGATGTTGCTATTCATATATCTGGTATTACTTACTTATATGTTTACACTGCATCCCTGCAAGTGACGCACAGCACTGCCTTAATCTCTGTACGCTTGAATCTCATCTCCGGCCACTTAATAATATAATGCACTGGCTGTACCCTATAATCACATTACGGTTTTATTGCATTATAGCTAAATGCATACTGTTACTGGCTATTATCAGACTTGTCTTAACGGTCTCAAGTTGTTTGACATTATTTACTCCACACCCATTTGTTAGTCAAAACACATTTACAGACTGTAAACGACTATGACTAATAAACTATGTGGGGCAGAGTTTTATATATATATATGATCTACTTTTGACTATATGATGATTTCTACTTCCTCCTCATGTCTTGCAGGTACTTGAAGTACCTCACCAAGAAGTATCTGAAAAAGAACAATCTCAGGGACTGGCTGCGGGTCGTGGCCAACACCAAGGAGAGCTACGAGCTGCGCTACTTCCAGATCAACCAGGACGAGGAGGAGGAGGAGGATGAAGATTAAACTTTGAATAAAATTTCATCATAAATTCCATCTGTGTTGGCTTTTTATTTGTATTAGTTTTCTCTGGGCATCACACACAGCATAGCGTATGAACATAACACTGCATGATTCTGTGGTGTGTTTATTATTTAGATATTCAAACGATCCAAATGAATTAGCCACATTTACAATACTTTTTGATCTTTTTCCTTATGTGGCACCTTTAATTATTTTATTTTTTTACTTTACCCTTTAATGACAAACATTTTTCCTCTGCTTTATTGACCTAAATACTGAAATCTGAGCCAGCAAAGGTAAATACATGACATAAAAATGTAAAGTACAATAGTGCATTATGTTAATAGAGAAAGAAAGGTGGTAAAATAATTAAACTGGTTATAATTGATTAATAGCCTATAATTAAATAAAATGGGAGCAATTTGAAGGCAAACTTCACTGCAGCATGTTCAGTCAGGACCCTTCCAGCTCTTCATCTGTCTGTTTTGGACACATTAAGTGAAGTTGAAGCTGGTGTGCTTGCTCTGGTGAGCTCTCTGTGGGGCGTCCTGTGTTCCAGCTGTGGTAACCTTGACAACAGTTAGACCACTGGCCGTCATGACTCCTCTCACAGCAGGCGGTCGTCAGGCTGCACTTGTGTGTGTGTGGTTTTTTTTTTGTTTTTTGAGGTCTAGTGGAAGTTTGTAAAACGAATAAACTGACTGACAGTCAGAATATGTTCTACATTAGGTTTCAGGCGATGATTAAAAGTGTCAATTGGACCGAACTATTTAAACTGAGATCAACGTGTCCCCCTTAAGAAGACATTGTGTGTATTTGTTGTACAGCCTGGTCTCATGTTCAGCGTGAACAGTGAAGCAGCAGAAGTTTTCTGTCTCAAAGCTCCGGACCTGTGGTGACATCGCGGGACTGTGTCAGCCTGTTCGCGGTGCATGGCGTTGCCGCACGCTGTTTTTTTTGTGTGTTTTTTTTTTTTTTTTGCACACTACTAGTTAAAGTGGTAACTAAGAGAGCATGACTAACTAGTTGTGGGTGAAATTATGGGATGCATCGTCATGGCAACAGACCAGACGTCACAATCTGGGCATGTGTGTTCCATTTTTGTCTTTCTTATTTTTCAGACTGGAAGACCTGGATAGAGATCAGTGGAAGATAATAAATGTTTTTTTTTAATATATATAATTTTTTTTTTGTACGTGGAGAGAAAGCCCCAGATTCACTGCAAAAAAAAATTCATATATATTTGTTCTAACTGAGCGACGATACATTTCTTTTTGGGTGAAGAAAGAGACTGGGCTGCGGCGTCTGGAGGGTTAACTTTCAGTATTCTCAGCCTAAAAGGGGTTTGGGGGCTATGAGATAAAGATGCCGGGGTCGCTGAGCAATGAAGACGAGGGACAAGACGACATGGATTTCGAAGACGATATGCCAGGTGAGGGGAAGCAGGGGGGTGGAGGCGGGGTGTCCTTCACATTATTTTTGCGCCGCTACGCCTTGAATGCGGGGAAAAGGGCTTGTCCTGCGTTCCCGAGACCAGAGAGGAGGAGGAGGAGGAGGAGGAGGGGTAGGGTGCAATAAGCAGAGTCATGCTATTATTATTGTTTGTTATTATTGTCTTAAAGGTGGGGACGGGTTTTGGGGGGGATTTGCCTCCGGCTGTCCTCGCATCATTTTGGAGGGCATGATGAAAAGCTCACTGCGTGATTCCTGTAGGCTTTTGGGGCTCTCACAGGCTGCATGCATGCGTGTACAAGCGAATGGCTTTCTTTTTTTAAATTTATTTCTTTACCTCGAGTCCAAACACACGAGTTTGGTTCGGCGAGCTGTGTTAAAACCCGTGACAATGTATCTGGCTCTGTGTCGATGAATAGGCTTTTTTTTTTTTTTTTTTTTTTTTTTTTTAGCAGAAAATGCTCAGTGACAACAACCGTGCTCGTTTTGTTACAGATGACGCGCCGCTGTTTGCACTCTTGCACACTTTTGCTGCTCCAACTTTAAATGTTTTTTTATTCCCCCCCCCCCGCACTGCACGGCCGCAGAGGTGTGAAAGCCACGTGTCGGGCTACAGTAAACAGTGCTTTAGCATCGAGTGTGTGTCCTTACGTGTGCACTGTGGATGACCACGGTTAGGTCATCGACATCCTTTCAGCTCTGGGTCGTGCACTAACTGAGGTGAACTGTAACCCACATCCTTGACACACTGGCTCTCTCTCTCTCTCTCTCTCTCTCTCTCTCTCTCTCTCTCTCTC